CGGATGCAAATATCTCGGCCAAACGTGCCCATTGGGAGATCGTGTCTTTTGTAAATTTCATACTAATTAAATTTGTCATCAATTGACACTAATTTCCCAAAAATCTGAGAGCATCCGCTGAGACACCTCCATTCTACCTTATTTTTTACAATTCAACTCTCCAAACCAAGCCCAAAACGGGCCAATTTTATGCCATGCAACATTGTGGCTCGAGCGAAGAGGGTGATACGATTGTGTCAAGAGACGCACAATGCATTTGTACGTTGCCAGCTAAAGAAAGATTTTCCTTCCTAGCGAATGAATGGAAATAGTTAACGGTTCGTTGTTGGATATGTGATCTCCATTTTATGGGAAATTGAGAAAAGAAAGTAGAGAATTGTGACTGTGAGAATGAAGCCTTCATCTGAATGACAATGAAGGTCTTGAATAGTCTCCTTGTCCTGCTGCATTTACACCAAAAACCAAGACGTAGACGCAAAGATCGGTTTCTTCTTCTTCTAAACTAAACAGTGGCCGCGGAAGGTGTGGGGGCATGTGGGGACATTAACATTGTTAACATTGTGGGATAGGGGAGGCCGGGATTTATATAAGATGGGGAGATGATGCGGACAGCCGAGGAAGCTGTGGGGACATTAACAGTGCAGGATAGGGGAGGGAAGGGTTTACATAAGATGGGGAGATGATGCGGACATCGAACAACCGTGGGGACATTGCCCCCCTGTCCGCGGCCACTGTTGCTTCTAAAATGAGAGTTCAACTCTTCTACATTCCGAATGGCACATGTGCATGCAATGCAAAACGAATAATGTAATGCAACCAAGGAATGAGTTCAATTCATGAATGTAAATACTATAAGGATTGGAATTGTATGGGTAAGAGAGCGAGACAGAATGGGGAGAGATTATGCGGGATGTTGCCTCATGCCACGATTTGGTGTCAGGTATACGAATACATAGTGCTTCTATAGGATTTGGTGCTTGTGCCCGATTACTTAGTGCTTTATGTAGAATTTGGTGCCTCTATCCGAGTAATTAGTTATTATAAAGAATTTAGGAATATTCAAAGGTGCTGCGGGGTTGGAAATAAGTATTGTGAAATACAAAGTTAAGTTCAAGTTTTGTACAACCTAAAGCGACATAAACTCAATACTTGACAGAACTATCATTTTTAACAATAAGCGTTAATACATTTCACGAATAACTAAAACAATCAGTCCCCATTAAATAGAATGTGTTTACTTAAACGTTGGCGAATTTGAGGTTTATTTTACAATTTTCGTTTATCATAAAAGTAAAACCTGATCCTTAAAAAATTGCACGAGCTTTATAGTAAGGGTTTCTTGGGACGCTGGTTTCGAGTAAATCTTAGCTGGCTGTGGGACGGCGGAGCTAAATAATTCTCTGGCAACCGTTGGTTTTACTTGTCGTTTTGGTGTGCTTGGTGGGGACGTCAGAGTGTCAGATTTCCTTCCTAGAATATTAAAATTTATCTTTAGTCTCATTGTTAGCCTTTCAGGGTGTTAAAATTTAAGTACTGTAGGTCACGTTGGATTGGGAAGCTTGGGTTGTTGATGGGCTAGCCAAGTGGTTCTTTATTTCGTTGTGGTAACTGTCAAATTTATGATAACAGTTGGGGCAGCAAACCATAAGGTGGTCAGAAACAAATCCGCGTTCTCGAATGTGTGGAGCTGTTAAAAAATCCTTAGGTTAATCCCAAGATCAATAGGGTTTCATGTAAAAATGATGTTCGTTAATCTTACGAGTTTGGACCGAGAGTTCCATATTCTGAGAATCCGGGTTAGGGCTCGATTGCACACAATAGGTGGAAAAAGCGTTAGGAAATAAACGACTTCGATTGCCAACACTACTAGATACCACCTCGAAATGCAATGAACATACCATGGAGGCATCACTGTTCCCCCAGTTTTCGTCGTTCACCAAACCTCTTACAAAATCCAACCATTACTGAAGTCGATCGGGGGCTTTTGGAAATTTAAAAATTTAGTAAATAAATTTTCGTACATAAATTCATAATTATTACAACGATCGAAGGAATTAAAATATCTGAACATTGATATTCCCGGAGGTAAACCGTAACGCGATTTGCACCCAGGCACGGATCATGTTATGTGACAATTTGAGTTCTGTCAAAAATATAATTTCAGAAAATGCTAAATTTAAATGAACAAAATTGTAGTATTTGCCAGTATTTAGATTAATTGTAACGATAATTTGAAAAAAAGCTGACAAACACAATATTTGTACACATAAAATCAATACTGTACTCAATTCTTACAGTAATGGTCACCCGGAGCCTATGTGGGGGTGACTACAAGTGATATATTTGTAACTATGCTAATTCTCAAAAACACGGGGTCCAGGCACCAAGTTATGCAACACAAAGGCCTAACTCTGCAAAGGTTTATGACAGCCCCATCATGGTGCTGGATGATGACCCATCCAGCCACAGCGTGACACAAATATGCATACACTTGCATAATGTTATTATAAATTAGTTTAAAAACATTGCAACGCAATTAATCAATTTATAAAATAAATCAAACCGATACAAGTATTGTTAAATTTTTCACCATTTCAGAGTTACGTATTTTGCGGGTATCCCCTTTGTCGAAATAAAATAAAATCTCCTTTATAACGCTAGATGGAATCAGATGCACAGTCTGTCTCTCGTGAATCTACTGGTTAAGATATAAGTTGGCCAATCCCTATAGTATTTACATTCATGGTTCAATTTGTATTTTTCGTCGATCTCGTTTCTTTATTCGTATAAATAGTACGTCTGAAAGGAAATTTGTTGTATTATCATGGCCCATCGGCATGTATGAATACGGTTGCATCACAAATCATCCATTTTTCACTTCCTAGTAAGATTTCGACATCAATACATTCGCAAAAAATGTACAATGGGAATAAACCTAACATATTTTACGGCATGGCTTACATCTTAAACTCCTATTTTGAATTTAATACGTTTCTACACGTGTATGTAGCGGTAATCCTGTTTTACTTGACTACCTATTTACGTATTTATAGGAATTAGTATATGTAGAACGCTTATTCTAATAGGATAACTTAAATTCTCGGTCGACTAACAATGTATCCGTAATCACATCGACAAGCTCCTTCCATCCAGCAAAATATTTATATCACAATAACTTTCTGACTAGTTAACTGCGCGCATATAACTTTTAAGCCCGAATACACAATGCCCATTCTCAGAAGGCTAAAAATGTCCCGATAAATGCATTCTTTGAGTCAAAAACATCGTTAAAACAAATTCTTAAAGGTTTGATTCAAAGTTTTGAGTTAAGTCGTCGTCACATTTCTACCCCATGCCAGGCAAATGCATATTTACGGCAGCTCATTCTTTTGAATGCGTACGTACATATCCACATTTCTCTTAAAACTCTAGCGACTTTTTATGCAAAACTTATCCTACTAACGATCCCCTCCACCTTGACGACGAAACGACGATGACGACTTTTCACCCTTTTGTAACAACGACAACTTATGCAAGACGACGGTGTTACGTACGTAGGGTTGCGATGTTATGAAATCTGCTCAAAATTGACATTGACTCGAATTCAGTTTTACTCATTCTAGTTGATCTAACAGAATGGAAATTCAATCAAAGATAATTCAAACCCACGCCACGCCACTACGCAATGAAAATCATAACGTCACTTATGTAGCTACATTTATTTACCCGCAGCAGACGACAAAACCACTCAACGAGATGAAACGAAGAGTAGCAGCAACCTTGAATACCTACCGATCAGACAGACATAGACCAGTCAGAATGCATTTATGATGACACAGTGGCCGCGGAACCAGAGGGACAATGTCCCCACGGTTGTTCGATGTCCGCATCATCTCCCCATCTTATATAAACCCCTCCCTCCCCCATTCTACAATATTAATGTCCCCACGGCTTCCACGGCCACTGTTATCAAGTATCATTTTGTAATGACATCACTTCCCCATCCCAAAAATGTGTCCATTTAACACAAAAAAATGCTGAATGATTCAAGTAAAATTTTCGGATTACTCATATCCATATTCCTGATTTGGTCCATTGTTCCCTCGTTAAGAAGTACTTACCTCTGTTGCGTCATCAATCTCATACGAGGATAAAAAAAGGTAGGCATGTGACACAAATAATTGAGGTGATATCACTCATTTGTAGGTAAGTAGCAAAGGAGTCAAGTCAGTAGTGCATACCAGATCTGCTGCTGTAGCTTCATCCATTCATATTAAGCTACGTACGTATCCTCACCGCTAATTTAGAGCCGGTTATATGTATTCCATTCTGTTCTCTTCCTTAATGCTTTGCTTTGGTAAAATTTCCCATTCGTTGGTTTCATAGGATTCTCTCCCCGTGTGCTAGGGCAAAAAGCAGTTTAATAGATATACCAACCAAGGTTGTCTTCTAATGTGTATCTACACATTAGCGAGGAATATGTATAGAGGATGCATGGCGATAAATGAAACCTGGAGCTGGAGCTGATGGTATGCAGCAATGGATGGTTTGCTTAAATGCAATGTATGGAATTGAATAAGACGAATGAGCAGGAGGGAATAAGCACCCTCCATCCAAACTTCTGTTGCAAGTCCAGATCGCATCTTTTCCTACTCCTGCATAAAAACACTTCTGTACATACATCCAGCATTTATAAGAATCTGGACTTGACTCCACTTTAGTCAATATCTTGGTAGGTATACACACCAATTCTTTCCTCAAGCAGTTTTGTTACCCGACTACTGACCATGTCGTAATGTTCCTTAGCATGGTGAAAATCCCTCGCTCACAAAGGAATACAAGAAGCCATTGGAGCGACAGTACTACCTGCATTTCGTAAAAATCTACTGCATCTTCCAATACTTATTGCCCCGCATACCGCCCTATGTAATACCACGGACGGTAGTAAAATATCTGTAATAATAGAATGGATGGACAACATGGTCACGAATTCAGACCTCTCTTAAAGCTTACCCTCTCCTACACTTAAAAGATTCGTATAAAGGCAAAAAACTTCCCCAAAACGGGGCAAAATCGAGCCTAAAAAACTTTTTCTCTGAATGGTTACATGAAGAATTTCCAGAAAAACGCTCAGTGAGTGAGTAAGTGTTGAATCGGAATATAAGCGTGTAACCGAGTAATAAGTCTGTTAACAGAGGTGTCCTTATATTCACCAAGTCGTCCATGGTTGGTTAAAAAGGGGTGAATAAGTTTGTAATGTGTAGTGATATTCATTCGTGGTCTGGTGGTAAAGCATGTATGCATGCACATAAAATAAGTGAGATGCATACATGTACAGTACATACTGGATGCACTGCCTGACTTCTTGATGATGAGATGAATAGTCTCGAAGAAAACAAGTCAGTCGACAATCCAGTGTGTTGGATGGATCATTACAAAAGCTTCATTCTCGAACTTCACAATCTGGACGGATCCGGCTTAGAATTCTTTACTTTAATACACGTTACTACATTACGACACCCTTTAACTTAACCAGTTTTCGTTGGTCGGTTAAGTTTTTAAACATCATCATTTTTTAACATAAATGGTCAAATTATTTTTTTTAAAGACGCTCTAAAATTCATGATAAACTACCACAAGTCATAAGTGGTTGTTGGTTAATGTAAAGTAACGTAAAGTGTAAAATATTTTACATGTTTGTTCAACTGCATGGTAGACCAGAGGACCAGATGTGTTTTTGTTTGTAAAGTAGGGAGAGAAAAAGATACAGAATGTTTTGGAAATTTACACCAAATGCAACAAAGTGAACCAACCTTATTTATTTTTTTTAAGGGGGGAAGAATTCGGCAAGAATTTTGGTTTTAGTGTGGTTTGGTTTTAAAACATGTTCGTTTGATCGCTAAGTTTTGTGCTGTGGGTTTATCTTCAAGACGGAATTTTTGTGTGGAAGACTCTGTAAAAAAGGTGCATGGTCGCGTTGTTTATGAAAAAATTTTACGTGGCGTGGCGAGTGATTAGACAATCATTTAGCGAAAAAACCATCAAGTCGACCGCATTTATAAGGCTCGACATTGACTGACTGCCCTAACCTTACATTTTACGTATTTGCATATTTACATACATACCTGTTCCCTCCTCGTGTTAAGTAATCTTATAAATTCGAGTTTGGATAGTTTTTATCGGCACAAATAGCTTACCTATTCGTTTCGTTTCGTCTGACCCCGAAAACTTTTCGTTTTTGGTGAACTCAACCACATTCTTTGTTGAAGAATTGTGTAAACTATGTGCTGTACGTAATAAAAGATAAACTGTGCTGTGGAATAGTTCTTTTTCCAGGGAAGAATTATATAAGTCTGGTTGGGATAAAGTGAGTTCAAGAATTTGGAAGGAATTCGCATTAATTTTTCTCAACTTTATGACTCAAACCTTTCAGAAGGAAGAATAAGAACATTCAGCAAAATTAAAGGTAGGTATTAACTATTTGTTCTATTTTTGTGCGTAAAAATAACTGGACACTGTAAAAAATGCGGTACAGTGACATATTTACGTAGTGGTATTGATTTGGTAGTAATTTCCTACCGGAATGGTAGTAGGTAGTTTGTTTCTAAATACGTGGTAAATTTTTCATTACCTCCTGAACCGTATTACCGGTAGAGTCATATATACTCTGGTCAGTGGTAATAATTTTATACCAGTTTCCTAAGAGTGTGCACTTTTCCTTGTAAAGTTGACAGTGTTTTCTGGAATTTGTGAATATACACATCAATTGATCCCATTATTCGTGCCGTCTTCCTTTATTATTCCCGTTCGTTCCTAAGCGGAGAAGTTAATGTAGAATGTTCGGAAGCATATTTACACTGTTAAAAATCTGGTAGAGTCAGATATATACTCCGAACTGGTATTTCTTTGGTAGTAATTTCTTACCGGATTAGTAGTACATAATTTGTTTCTGAGTGGTAAATTTTTGCATTACATAACATTACCCGGTGTTAAAAATGTGGTGGAGTCACATACTCATTCCGTACGGGGACTGATTTGGTAATAACTTTTTACCGGATTGGTAATATATAGTTTATTTCTGAGTGGTAAATGTTTCACTACCACGACATTACTAACCGGTAATGCACGTTATTACCAGGACCGATAGAGTCATATACATACTATATTTACAGTAATGATTTACTACCACTTTTCTAAGAGTGTAGTTCAGTTCCTCAAACAGAATATTGAAAATCCGGTTGCAAATATTTTACGACGAGTATCACATTTGATACCGTACATATCATGCCAATTGCTAGTTTGGTTCGGTTTAATGTTGGCCCCGACGATATCACGCAATGTCTCCGTCGGTATCTTCTTCCTTTTCTACGTATTTTGTATGTCTATCTATACCCGCATAAATTATGAATTCTCCAGACTTATCATTACGCTGGGTAAGAAAAACAAGGTGCGATGCCTCGTTTGCTCCCTGCTGGAAGAACTTTGTTGGTTGGTGTCATGTTGCTAATTTAATGGCCAAGTCGAGATAATAGTAGTAAACAATATGCAGATTGTACGTAGCAGGCGATGGCTAAAGGGTATGAGCTAATGGTGAAGGAAAACTTGCATAAAATTTTACTGGGCGATGTATTAATTACATCCGAGTGACTACAAAAACAAGGGTACGATTAGACCTCGCGTTTTTAAAGGCGAGCATGCCATCGTGGGTACAGTGGCCGCGGAGGGTGGGGAGGGGACAGAGGGACAATGTCCCCACGGTTGTTCGATGTCCGCATCATCTCCCCATCTTGTATAAACCCTTCCCTCCCCCTATTCTACAATTTTAATGTCCCCCGATGTCCCCTTTTCAGGTTCCGCGGCCACTGACTAAATAGCTGGAGGAATGTTACATAACCTTCTTCTTCTACGCAACAGTATGTTTATTAAGCCCCAAGAAAGGGTTGCATAAATTAGCGGAAATTCAGTTACAGGTCATTGCCAAATTTTGCATAATATGCAAATACGAAAAAGCGGTAATATTTCTCCCGCTAACTTCATTTTAAAATTTAAGCTCCATTTTTCTGTGTCTCGTTGCACAAAATAAGTTTGTAAAAGGTCTTTGTAAAGAAGAAAAAGTAACCGGTAGTGCCCTGAGGGTTGCGGTTGGTTGTTGTTGCTGAAGGCTGTCTCGAGCCCTTAGTCTACCTTTCTTCTCTCCATTTTATTTTATTTTACGTTACACGAGACGAACTTGGATTGAAACGTTCCTTAGTTCCTGCAGAATCTTTGGAGAATGGATTTTTCCATGGTCCTACTCAAAGTTGGTGGAGTATAATCTGCTTCCCTCGTGGGAAGTGGTTGGTTTGGTAGTAGGTTAAAAATAAAATATCTATGTACTCAAGTTAAACAAACTTTATTATGTAAGAAGAAAGTAACAGAATGCATTGTGCATATTATGTAACTTTTTACCCTTTAATGCATATACATATATATAATTCATGTCGCGATAATAATATGCAACTTTTTGATCTGATACGGTTTCAAAGAATGTGTGTATATATATTGTTCGTTCAGTGGCCGCGGAAGCTGTGTCGATATGTCGATACATTAAAGCCCTTTAATGTATATACATACACAGAATTTATGTTGCGATAATATACAACTTTGGTAACTTACTTGGTCTGATACAGTTTCAAAGAATGTACTTATATATTGTGCGATCACTGGCGGCGGAAGCTGTGTGGGGATATCTGGGGACAGTAACATTATAGGATAGGGAAGGGACGGGTTTATATAACATGGGGGGATGATGGGGACATCCAACAAAACAACCGTGGGACATTGTCCCTCTGTCCCCACACACCCTTCCGCGGCGACTGGTTCGTTTCCTTCGTAACTCCACGGTTTAGAGCCCACGGAAGGAAGGAAGTAATACGAATGAAATTGAATGGACTGCGGGTCATAATTCTCAAGTTGTAGATTTTATTTTATATTAAACAAGACCTTTAGTTTTTCATTTCACACACAGTTTCTTTCTCCTATATAATTTACATGGCCACCATAAAACACCGGGGCTGACAAACTAATTTTTCCCGACCGAATCTATCTCAGGATGTATTAAAAAGAAACTCGCCACATAACTTGACTTGGCTACTGTTGGGCCCAATTTATCAAGTAGAGCTGGCTCATTCACGTGTGTGTGTGTAATTACGGCAATAAAATGGATTTTGGTAAAGAATATGTAATGAAATGAATACGGTTTTTTGTTCTTGTTGTGGTCGTTTTATCGGGAGAAACGTGTCCCGAGTGTGATGTGCAGCGGGTCACGTGCTATTAGCACCTTGTTATCCGACCTTATCAAACCTAAGCAATAATTCATTACGCCAAATTTCGACGAGTTTTGAATTCCAAAGTGCCCAAAATTCTACATACTAACCTCACATAGATACAGTGGCCGCGGAAGCGGTGGGGACATGGGGGGACATTAACATTGTAGGGTAGAAGGGAAGGGAGGGGTTTATGTAAGATGGGGACATCGAATAACCGTGAGGACATTGCCCCTCTGTCCACACCCTTCCGCGGCCACTGCATGCATACATATTACCCTCCCTGCCTAATTAGTCTATCATATATGCATCTTTATTTCTCCAGCATTTCAGCCAAAATTTTGAATTAGTTGGGCCAATCACCCCGAACTGAACCGACATTACTCATGCAATCTCCTCTCCATGACCACTCGCATGCATGCCGTATGTAGAGCGAACGAACCTCATTTGTCCCGGTTTCCTGTTTTACTACTATTCCGTGATATCTCCGCAACCTGGAGAAAGAAGAAATTAATCACTTTATTACCTTGCTTATATCCAAGGCAAGGTGGTTTCAAGTAGTGGTTTGGGTGCAATTCTAGGAAGGGTCATATACCCCGATTGGCCAGCCAATCTGCTGCCCAACGGTGCTTACAAGGGAGGTCTCCCAGCGGATGCTCTCCGATTCTGGGAAAATTAGTGTCAAAAGATCAAAAATTTAATTAGCATGAAATTTGCAAAAGGCACGATCTCCCAATGGGCACGTTTGGCCGAGATATTTGCATCCGAAGAGGAGAAAACGCCCAGTAAATTTGGAAAGTGTAAAATTTGTCGACTTTAAGGTGCGTTTTCTCCTCTTCGGATGCAAATATCTGCGCCAAACGTGCCCATTGGGAGATCGTGTCTTTCGCAAATGTCATCCTAATTAAGTTTGTCATCGATTAACACTAGTTTTCTCAAAATCGGAGAGCATCCGTTGGGAGACGTCCCTTATTAGTTGGATAATAATATAACGGATACAAATATCCATCAATCCATAATGACGATGAAATGAAGTAGGATTTACTTAATGGTATCGTCCATATGCTCCAATTTCTATTAAACATTATAATATCCCCTAATCAAACATGCTACTATTATGCGTTATGAATGAGGGTAATATATAGGATTTTAAAGGGATGCGAAATAATAGATAGTGATAATAATAAGGCCATAATTTACTGTCGACCAACTGCGGTGACTGGAGTACTGTCACACAACTCTCCCGACCAACAAAGTACCCTCAGGAGGGGAGGTTGTGTACTATCAACTCCCGGATTTCGATGCCCTTTGGATATGTTGTAGTGTCCCATGAATGTACAACAACCCTGAAGTGGTTTGATGCCATGGCCACATTTGCTCCCGCCACACCCACTCAAAGATGCCCAAAAATCGCTTTCACTCTAGCTTTCACTCATTCAAATCCTCGCCAAAAATCCAATTTTACTCCGATTTTGAAATTGCTTTCACCATTATACTCCCAGATAGTTGCTCTCTTATATCCAACATCAAGCTCAACTTTTTTGATGATTATTTCGCAGCCATAATTTGCTTTGTTGACTACCACAACAATGCTAATTCAGAATTTTTAATTTTTAAAATACTAAAAATTTCAAACAGTTGAATTTGATGTTGGATATAAGAGAGCAACTATCTGGGAGTATAATGGTGAAAGAAATTTCAAAATCGGAGTAAAATTGGATTTTTGGCGAGGATTTGAATGAGTGAAAGCTGGAGTGAAAGCGATTTTTGGGCATCTTTGAGTGGGTGTGGCGGGAGCAAATGTGGCCATGGCATCAAACCACTTCAGGGTTGTTGTACATTCATGGGACACTACAACATATCCAAAGGGCATCGAAATCCGGGAGTTGATAGTACACAACCTCCCCTCCTCAGAGCAGCCGCAAAACAAAGGATAATATGGTGAAAGAAAATAGAGCGAGATAGTCCGAAAGTCCAGGCCGGGAGTTGCTTTATTCTATCGAATGTACACTCGAATTATTTGTGCGTGACACCTACCTCATTTGCATATTTTAACGCATTTGGGAGAGGCATAGAGTTTATTCAGCCCGTATCGGAGAAAATGGGCATAGTGAGATTTATGCAAATGAGGTGACAAGCCTAAGTAAGACACAGTACAGTG